AAGGTCCCTTCCGACCCTACTTCTATGATTCTATGAAACAGTTGAATTTAGCCCTATGGTGTTTCCAACATGCAGCAACAGTAAGGTGCAGGACCAAGTCATTTTGATGAAGTAAACCTGATACTTTTCTTGGCCCTATGAACACTAACATGGTTATGGCCAGCATGGGTTTCAGCTGAAATCTGGACAGGACCTAAACATCTTGAAAGTGGGCCTTGACATCTTTTCAGAAGAAAACCCTCTCAACTTACAGTTTCTTCTATCTGTGCAGCTTCACCATAGATATTTGCCACCAGGACAGTATTGCAGTTTCCTCCTGAAAACAAGCAAGGAGGAGGAATATGATGTGCTCTGTACTGGTTTCCTTCCTGGAAAGTTTTATATTTGATATTTTTCCCCTCAGTCACCAGTAGTCCCCACATAAAGTAACATACATCAACACGATAGTATGGCATGAGTTAAGAATACAGGCAACATATGTTTGCATCCTAGTGAATTTATACTTGGTACATGGCAATGCAAACTGTAAGTGCGTAGAGTGGCGTAAAGCTGAAGCGTAGGATTTCACAAACTCTCAGAGTTGGCCTCTTATCCCAGTGAAATCAATAGCGGTTTTGTCATGGAGTTTAACAAGAACTTAACAGGCTAATACTGAGAGCTCTGGAAAGCCCATCCTACATTTTTATGACTTCAGTTATTAAAACAGATGTCTGCAGCCTATCTTCAGCTGCTTTCTCTACTCAGATTGTCATTCAGTGTTGCTAAGGTGGAAGATTTTCCTACACATTCCAGATGTAATAGGGCTTTTGGGTTTGTCCTCTGTTACCAGATGCTGATCATCATCAACTCCTGCTGGGATTAACAAGAGCCAAGGACATTTATAAGATCAGAATCTGGAAAGGCCAGTGATGTGCTTTTAAAGTGTTTTCAGCTGAGAAAAGTTTAGCAATGTCTCTACTGGCTTGAGTAGCGTGAGGCTTGTACCGTATGCATGCTTGGTGTTTCATTAGAGTAAGAAAACAGATGTTATTTTTGAATAGTGACTAATGCCATGTTGTCATAGGCAGGACTATTAGCCTAACGTTGACTGCATGCTTTTCATCACTGGCCTCTTCTGCCTGTAATAACTGTAACCAAGACATCTTCCAGTTACTCTAGTCAGGGTTGTTCCAATGCCAGGTCCTTACCTAATGAATCCTTAAGCACATGAGTGAGCTTGCTTTGCCGGAAGGGGATATGGTCCCTCTTCTGATCAGCTAGTGCAATGATGGCTTGTTCAAGGAATGACAGAGACTTGTTGATGTAGGTGGCTTCTTTCAGAACCTGCCCCTCGGACTGC